CCCTTGAAATGGGTGTTCCAACAAGACAACGACCCCAAACATACCAGTAAACGTGCAACATCTTGGTTGTGAATGTTTGAGTTTGTAAAGAAGAATACAAACACTGCTATTTTTTTGAACAGTCTAATATTCACTTTTCTTCCATTTTTTTAGAGAAACACAAATTTGGTATATTTTTCTTCATGTTTTGATTTGGAATAGAAGGTGTAGTGTTCCCAATGCATTTGTGTGTATGGAAATAAAAGCTATTAGAAGGATTTTGAGCTTTATTCACTTTTTTCAACACACTGCTATTATTTTGAACACAACTGTATATGCGCATGCACGTGTGACGTGTTTCCCAAAAGTAATACACACTTGGGTGTTTAAATGTGTATTCAAGTGTGTACAGTCACTATGGCCAGATGCACACATCATCTGTAGCTCCCTAGGAGCAAAAAAATGTTGTAAGCTAGAGCTCATTTGCACCTCTCATGTTCATGAGTCCATAGGGCCCATTCCCACAATTTTACAATGGGATGCAGTGACCAGTGTTACTCAGAGTAGTCCCAAGACAAGGACAAAGCAATTAGCCTAGTTTTCTATGTTCTCAAATCACTGCATTGCAATGGGGTGCGCTGTAAAAAGTACTGCCTGACGTACATTTCTTCAGTGCAGTGGGCTGCTGTGGAAACTACTTCATCCAAACACCATGGTGTGGATAGAGCTTAATGAAACATCACTTGTGACATTTCAATTAGATATTACCAAAAAAAAGGAAAACCGTGAGATGCACCGAGATCTGTGCTTCAAAAATGTGTCTTGCCACTGCACACCAGCAGCTGTGCGTTAAGTGCAGCTGCTGGTGTGAATCGAAGCTTGTATAGTTTTAACAGGCACAGCAATGTTTTCAGTTAAAACATATTTTTATTGTATTCCTATGCTTCTAATAACCAGGAATTGAGTGAAGACGTTTTAATATGTGTTTCTGTGTTTGGGCTGTAGCATGCTGAGTACATCTGAACTAGAAAAATAATTTCCATCAGCCAGTAAAGTGGTAGGGTTGGATATAGACACAATAGTTTTAAGAGTGTTAGTTACACCACTTTAAGGATCCATACACACTGGCTTCAAAAAAACAATGCTTCTAGAGGAGTTTAGCATTTTGCCTGTAGAAGCAGCTCAGTGTTATCCATATGTCTATGCACAGTAGGACGATTAGAGGCATATTTTAGGCTTAGCACTTAGGGTCAGGAAAAAAAATCTATTTTGCGCTTTTGAGAGCAGTTTTTTGGCAGAAAAAAAAAAACGCTAAATGCTCCTAAACTCTAGTACAAAAAAAATCAAAATTTAGCATTTATTTCTGCCAAGAGTACTGGCGTTTTATTTAAGCCAGTGTGCATGGACCCTAAATGTACTGTAGGTCCTTTTTTCAGCAAATCACAGAAAGTAAGTATATCAAGGTTATGCTTGATCACATACAGTATGCATATACGTTCAACAGTTCCAAAGCCAAGACTGTGTTTTTAATTAATAGGCATGTAAAAAACACCATCTAATATTTCTGAAATGCAAACCCTGTGCTCAGCCTACTTTCCAGCTCAACCTGCACCTCAGGAGCCCTTCAGACTGGGTTCTAGTTGTTAAATGGTTTGGTTTATTTCATGCCATTCTCATTTTTTTCTGAGCTGCCCATTCCATTTTTCTTTTTATGTTTTTTCCCCGCTGATGTTTTATAATAGATCTTGCTGAGAGAAATATTAAATGTGACACAATTGTGAAAGCAATGATTTATGTTTTAGTATTTATTGAATTTTACAAGATCAGGAATACACATAAAAATGGTTATCAGCACTTTACAGAGCATATGGGTTTGCTTCAACAACACACATGAAAAAAAAAAAAACAATAATCCGTATCCATACTGTATCCATGCACAACTCTGAATCACTTACAACTGTGCTAAATGTATTTAAACCATGTACATGAAAACACTAAAGGGTCTGGGGGTGAGATGTATCCCACTCATGGGTCTCAGTTGTCTTCAGATTTGGATTGTGAATTGTTCAAAATGCTTGACAACCTATCATTAACCACAATCTAATTGAGTTTACTCTTAACCAATTCCAAGGAAACCACAGACTTATGCAAACATCTGGATATAGCAATTCTAGCAATTAGAAAAGCAAGTTGCCCAACCCTGTGGGGACATTAGAAGTTGTTTTGCCTAGCAATACCTCATCAGGAGATCTATTTTTAGATTAAACAAGGTTACTATATATAAGTGCATCAACTCTAGTCCAAAACCTCTAAAATTTCAGGCAGGGCCATCATATGTGGTACATAGTACTCTAAATTGAACATTGCACTTGGACTTGGCTTCTGGTTTAAATGTAGCTGTTTTAGTGGGGACCAGTCACCATCTAAGTATTGGGTAATAATTTGCTTCTATTATAAGTTTCGTTTCAAGAGATGCTCACAAAAAGTTGGAGTTACGTGTGACTATCTGGTGTCGTAAAAAGGAATGTGTCTGCCAAAATTTAGACTCCTCTGTTGTGGGAATTGATGTTTACTCCAAAAGCATTGATTTCTAAAGGAGCTGTAACAGCAGCAATTTAGCAGTCTCATGTAATGTATCTCCAGTCTATTATTGTCTCATAAAGCATGTCTATGATCACCTCCTGCAGAATGTCTGAATTTCTGATCAACTCTTGTAGTATGCATGTGGTCTTTGACCATCTCCTTGTGCATATCCACAGTCTCTGAGAGCTTTCTGCAGCTTTACGAGAGGCCAATAATAAGTAACAGAGTTCAAGGGTCAGTAGTACGTAAGTGATGCAGAGTTGAGGGGTGAGGAGTAAGTAAGGCAGAGTTCAGGGGTCAGTAGAGACACAGTAAGTGATGCAGAGGTTTGGGGTCAGTGGTGCGTGACAGAGGTCAGCAGTCTGTAGAGACAATGATGTCAGCAGTAAGGTGCTGAGAGTTCAAGGGTCAGTAGTGATTCAAAGATCAGGGCTCAGTAGTAGATGATTTAGAGGTTAGGGGTCAGTAGTAAGTGACAAAGAATTCGGGCTCAGTAGCAAGTGATTCAAAGTTCAGTGCTCGGTAATGACTGGGGTCAGGCTGGAAAGGGGAGTAGGGAGTCAGGGCTTTGATTGGCTAATGTCTATTTTCCTTCTCCCTGGACTCTTTACAGTGCTTGGGGTACTGCAGCCCCAGCTCTTCTCCCCCTTCTATTCTTTTCTAGTCCTGGAACACAGGGCTATGATTAGCTGTACTTTAGCCCTGGCTACTGGACCAGGCAATAGGAGAAGGGGGAGAAGAGCCAGAGCTGTAGTATCCTGAGCAGTGTGAAGAGTCCAGGAAAAAGGATAACAGCGGTAAGCAGTGCAGAGGACGGCTGTTTTTGCTGGGACAAATGGGAACCTAATACTGTACTCTGTGTCACTACACAGTAGTAATGCAAAGGTCAGAAGTAAGTGATGCAAAGTTCAGAGGTCAGTAGTGAGTAATGCAGAGTTCAGGGTCAGCTGCAAGTGATATAGAGTTCAGAAATCCATAGCGACACAAAGTTTAGAGGTCAGGCGTAAGTGACTCAGAATTCAGGGGTCAGGAGTAAGTGATGCAGAGGTCAGAATTAAATGATGTAGAGTTTAGGGGTCAGCAAGTAAGTGACTCAGAGTTCAGGGTCAGTAACACCTCAGAGGACACTGATAACTGACTGTCAGGGCTCCCGGGTATGACCAGAGGTGTGTGACTGACGCAGGGAAACGCAGACTTCAGATATGTTATAAACAATATTTATTAACACTAACCATACAAACATAAACGCAGTGCAATACTAAAACATAACACAGTGCAAACAAACCAACCAACCACCTACAGATAACAGTACATACAATGCAAGCGTCGTCAGGCAGGCCGGGTCAATATCAGTCGGGCAGGTAGGTACAGGGGGAGCAAGCGGAGAATGGTCGGGGTCACAGGCCAGGTTCAGCAGGTAGCGGGCAGCGTGGTACAGAGGGTCAGGCAGAGGAGAATGGTCAGACAAGCCAGGGATCAGAGCAGGATCAGCAGAGAATCAGACAGGAACAGAGAGCAGGAACAGGATACAGGGCCCAAGAGAAACACAACACCAAGGCAGAGTCTGCAGGTCTGAATGTCCCCTAAATACACCAGTATAATTAGTTCCAGGTGTTTGACTGGCTGCAAGGTTGAGTCTCTGATTGCTGGGAGCACCCGCTTGCCAGCCCTGGTACTGCAGCTCATAAGGCAGCTGAGTCCCACTATTGCTGGCCAGTCCATTCCTGACAGTACCCCCCCCTCAAGGAGCAGCCTCAGGACGCTCCAAACAGTCCTAGCTGGGCAAAATGTTCCACCGCCCGGGTCTGGTAACTGGCGGGATATCAAAGACTGGCACACCGGGCATGACTCCGGGCAGCGGCACACCGGGCAGAGGCACATCGGGCTGGACTCCGGGCAGAGGCACATCGGGCTGGACTCCGGGCAGAGGCACATCGGGCTGGACTCCGGGCAGAGGCACATCGGGCTGGACTCCGGGCAGAGGCACATCGGGCTGGACTCCGGGCAGAGGCACATCGGGCTGGACTCCGGGCAGAGGCACATCGGGCTGGACTCCGGGCAGAGGCACATCGGATTACCAGGCGAAGCAGCAGGCCACCAGACGGAGCAGCAGGCACCGGGCCCCCGGGCGGGGCGACGGGCACCGGGCCCCCGGGCGGGGCGGCGGGCACCGGGCCCCCGGGCGGGGCATCGGGCCCCCAGGCGGGGCGACGGGCGTCGGGCCCCCAGGCGGAGCGGCGGGCGCCGGACCCCCAGGCGGGGCGACAGGTCTCGGGCCCTCAGGCGGAGCGGCGGGCGCCGGACCCCCAGGCGGGGCGACAGGTCTCGGGCCCCCAGGCGGAGCGACAGGTCTCGGGCCCTCAGGCGGAGCGGCGGGCGCCGGACCCCCAGGCGGAGCGACAGGTCTCGGGCCCCCAGGCGAGGCGGCGGGCACCGAGTCACCAGGCACGACAGTGGGCTCCGAGTCAACTGGCATGACCGCTGGCACTGGGTCAGACATTGGATCGTCTGGCTGGACAGCGGGCATCGGATCACCAGGCATCAGGTCATTTGGCTCGACAGCGGGCGCCGCGTCATCTGGCAAGGCAGTGGGCTCCGAGTCAACTGGCATGACCGTGGGCACTGGGGCAGACATTGAATCGTCTGGCTGGACAGCGGGCATCGGGTCACCAGGCATCAGGTCATTTGGCTCGACAGCGGGCACCGCGTCATCTGGCAAGGCAGTGGGCTCCGAGTCAACAGGCACGACTGTGGGCACCGGGTCATCAGGTACCGGATTGTCTGGCTCGACAGCGGGCATCGGGTCACCAGGTATGACAGCGGGCACTGGGTCACCAGGCATCAGGTCATTTGGCTTGCCAGCGGGCACCGCGTCATCTGGCAAGGCAGTGGGCACCGGGTCACCAGGCATTGGATCGTCTGGCTCGACAGCGGGCACCGAGTCACCAGGTACGACAGCGGGCTCCGAGTCAATTGGCACGACAGCGGGCACCGGATCAGGTACCGGATCATCTGGATCAACAGCGGGCATCGAGTCAACTGGCCTAATAGGATCGTCAGGCTGGATCAGTTCATCATGCTGGGTAGAGGCATCAGGCTGAATGCCGGCGTCCAGCTGAGTAGAGGCATCAGGCCGAGTAGAGGCATCAGGCCGAGTAGAGGCATCAGGCCGAGTAGAGGCATCAGGCCGAGTAGAGGCTTCAGGCCGAGTAGAGGCTTCAGGCCGAGTAGAGGCTTCAGGCTGCGTACAGGCATCAGGCTGAGTACAGGCATCAGGCTGAGTCACGGAAGGCAGGTTCACCGGTTTGGATACTGGCAGGATGGTATTGGTTGGAAAGAATTTTCGCTTTTTTCTGGTTTTAACTACTGGAGCACTGCAAGTAAAACGCAGGTCTGCAAACGAATGGAGCAGCTGGAGACAGAGAAGAACTGGAGGATGGAACAGGAGAGGGAGCAGTTGCTACAGGGTTTTTTACAGGGTTTTTACAGGGTTAAAGGCAGGATAGGTGCAGCGAGTGGGAACAGGGTACTGACATGCGGTAGATAGCAGGGCAGGAGGAGCTGTTGGGAATGCAGGAATAGAGTTTTGAGGAAATAGATTAGAAGCAGGACTGGGTTTTTGCAAGCTGACTGAGGCTGGGTGCAACAAGTCTGTCCATGTCTGCAGTATGGGTTGAACAAAGCTGAGCTTACACAAAGCCTGTCTGACCAAAGACTGCACTGCGTTTATACAATCTCTTAGTATCTGTGGTGAACATGTGGAATAACGCTCCAGAAAGTAACCCACATCATCCTCTAATAACCATACCAGGGACTCTACCTGGTCTGCACTAAATGGTGGCAAAAATTCATCCCTGCATTCGGGGGTACCAGATGAAACCAACTCAGCACAAACCTCAATCAATGGCTGCACCTCAGAGAACTCTGTGCCCTGATCTACTAGAACATGAGCGAGCCGTATACATTCTAGCAGTTCATCCCGGGTATACTCCTTCAGAGTTTGATAAGCATACTCCCTGTCATCAAACACTAGCAGATATAAATACACAACCTCATCCAGATCCATCCTTCCCAGCAACAAGCCAAGATGGCTTCCCTGTGCAGCCACTTCTGGTCAGGATTGGCCTTGGTGTAATGTCAGGGCTCCCGGGTATGACCAGAGGTGTGTGACTGACGCAGGGAAACGCAGACTTCAGATATGTTATAAACAATGTAATTTATTAACACTAACCATACAAACATAAACGCAGTGCAATACTAAAACATAACACAGTGCAAACAAACCAACCAACCACCCACAGATAACAGTACATACAATGCAAGCGTCATCAGGCAGGCCGGGTCAATATCAGTCGGACAGGTAGGTACAGGGGGAGCAAGCGGAGAATGGTCGGGGTCACAGGCCAGGTTCAGCAGGTAGCGGGCAGCGTGGTACAGAGGGTCAGGCAGAGGAGAATGGTCAGACAAGCCAGGGATCAGAGCAGGATCAGCAGAGAATCAGACAGGAGCAGGAACAGGATACAGGGCCCAAGAGAAACACAACACCAAGGCAGAGTCTGCAGGTCTGAATGTCCCCTAAATACACCAGTATAATTAGTTCCAGGTGTTTGACTGGCTGCAAGGTTGAGTCTCTGATTGCTGGGAGCACCCGCTTGCCAGCCCTGGTACTGCAGCTCATAAGGCAGCTGAGTCCCACTATTGCTGGCCAGTCCATTCCTGACACTGACGCATTATTCAGGGGTCAACCATAAGGGATGCAGCGGTCAGTGGTAAGTGACGCAGAATTTGGAGGTCAGTGGTAAGTGATGAAGCATTCAGATATCTAAAGTAAGTGATGCAAAGTTCAGAGCCCAGTAGAGACATAGAGGTCAGTGATAAATGACAGTGTTCAGAGGTCAGCAGTAAGTGATGCAGCGTTCAAGGGTCAGTAGTAGGTGACACAGAATTTAGAGGTCAGTAGTAAGTAACTTAAAGTTCAGTGCACTTAGCTTTTGTCTCAGTAGTACTCTGTCCAGACTGAATGCATTTGTTTTTATTTGCAGTCAACCTGATAACCGGCGTAATGGATCTGGAACAAAAAGGAAGAAAAAAAGGATAAAGAAAAGTGCCAAAGGGAATCCTGTGCCCGAAGCCCAACCTAGTCGATGCTACAGTCCTTTGGTGTATGATCCAGAGGTAATAGGGCTGAAGAAATCATGTAAATCCTTTATAAAAAAATGTCTTAAGAAGACCGTAAACGCAAGAAATTGTATTTGTCATTTCAGCTATGTTTCTAAATGTGTGTGTATTAGATGGGGCAATCTTAAGCAATCCATTTCATTTTATTTGCTAGGAGAGTTCTCAGCAGCGATGGCATAAACCACTAGCCCCTGGATTTACAGATCCCCTGATAAAAAAAAGTGTTTCTTTTCCCTTAACTCTACCAATAGAAGACTAAACCTGTATAAAAGGCAAGATGTGTTTGGGGGTTAAACATTTTGCAGGGGCATAGTGGAGTTTAGCCATCCTCCTGTCCCAGACATATCCTTCTTCTGATATAAAAAGATCAGCATTTGACTATTCCCCAAATAGAGCAACATATAGACACAGATCTAGGCTTACCAGTTCCTTTGGATCTTGCATCACAGGTTTACCTTGATAGTAAGATTTTACAGAATTCTTTGGTAACTGCCAGACACATACCTCAGGGACACAGCTTTGATTGCAATAGAATAGTTGTGTATTGTGGGGGAGACATCAGCGTACAACTGCTCCACAAACTTCGACAAGACACTGACAGTGGCAGTTACCTTAATTAAGAAAAGCAGAGAAGCAGGCACCAAACAATGAACACTAAACACTTGAAGCTTGAGTACCCATTCGACTCTGACTTTTCCAAGAAATTGCCCAGCTTGCCCCAGCCCCTTCAAATTCTAGACCTAGGCACATTTGTCTAAATTAGCTATATTTTTAGAGAATAATGGTTTGGATGCAGCATTCCAAGTGCGTACAGATCTACAATGTCAAGAAGCAAAAAAATAGGTGTTTAAAGCAGAACTACGGCCCACCATTTAAAAGAATATGTTTTCCCTTAAGTTTGTCATACACAACTAAACTTTTGGCAGATTCCTACTGAATCTGATGAAATTTCAGCCATGGGTGGCCTAGTTGGCACCACCCAGCTCAACAAACTTTGAATGAAAAATCTAAGGAGACAGGTGGAAAATTAACTATTGGCTTCATCCTATTAGATGCCTGAATTATTTTAGATTTCACTATGAGTGTATGGCTAGCCTTAGTCCCCCTGCAAAGCCTCACAAATATATTTTAATCTGGCAGTGAAGTTCACCCAATACTGTGATGAGGGAGGCACGGAGCCTACATGGTGGACAATGCTGCCCGTCTTTATTAACAGTGCAGCAGTGTTGTCCCTCACGTGGACTGTGAGTGCTTGCACTACAGCGAAATGAGCAGATGTTGCAGTGGGAGTGGCTATCAGCATTACAAGCCTGCAGCTTGTCAGTTGGTAGCTGCCAACACCTGCTCAACACTTTCTGGATTGGCAGAACTGGCTGTGCTACTGTAAACTTACCACTGGCAGCTGCAGTGTGTGGGAGGGGGGCATGAGAGACTCAAGGGACGTGAAAAAAGTTTCACTTAAAACTTATGAGGCTCATGCATCTCATAACAACTGGATTGAGACCTGCTAAGGCCAGACTTTCGTAACCATGGTCAAGGCACCCTGGGGTGGCGTTTGGATTCATCTGCGGTACCATCAATCTATGCCATTCCTGATGACACTTAACACATACATAAGTGGACTTTCTTCTGTTGCCCCACATACACTATATTGACAAAAGTAGTGGGCCAGCCCTCCAAATCATTGGATTCAGGTGTTCCAATCACCTCTATGGCCACAGGTGTATAAAATCAAGGACCTAGGCATTCAGACTGCATTCTGGACTGGACTGAATTCTTTGTCAACAGCACCTCAGCCACGCAGTGGTTTTCCACGTAAAATGCAGGGTCAGCGCATGCTGAAGTGCACAGTGCGCAGAAGTCACCAACTGTCTGCAAAGTCAATAGCTAAAGACCTCCAAACTTTGTGTGGCCTTCAGATTAGTACAACAGTGCATAGAAAGCTTCATGGAATGGGTTTCCATGGCCAAGCAGCTGCATCCAAGCCTTACATCACCAAGTGCAATGCAAAGTGTCGGATGCAATGGAGTAAAGCATGCAGCCACTGGACTCTAGAGCAGTGAAGATGTGTTCTCTAGAGTGACAAATCACGCTTCTTTGGCTGGCAATCTGATGGACGTGTCTGGGTATGGCGGTTGCCAGAAGGGTACTTGCCTGACTGCATTGTAGTTCCAGTGATGGGAACTCTTAAGGCGTCAGAATACCAAGACATTTTGGACCATTTCATGCTCCCAACTTTGTGGGAACAGTTTGGGGATGGCCCCTTCCTGTTCCAACATGACTGCACACCAGTGCACAAAGCAAGGTCCATAAAGACATGGATGAGCAAGTTTGGGGTGGAGGAACTTAACTGGCCTCGGTCCTGACCTCAACCCTATAGAAGACCTAAAACTAGGATGCCATTAAAGTTCATGTGTGTGTAAAGGCAGGCATCCCAATACCTTTGGCAATATAGTGTATATATACAGTATCTCACAGAAGTGAGTACACCCCTCACATTTTTGTAAGTATTTTCTTATATCTTTTCATGTGACAACACTGAAGAAATGACACTTTGCTACAATATAAAGTAGTGAGTGTACAGCTTGTATAACAGTGTAAATTTGCTGTCCCGTCAAAA